ACACGGCTGGGGGGAGAGAAGCCATGGGATCACAGGTGCCTGAGTAACAGGCCAGCAACACCTGCTGAAGAGCTCAGCAGGGCAGAGGAGGGGCGGGGAGGCAAGCAGTGGGGCTGAAAATGGAAAAGGCCCCTACAGCAACTGGGGTTTGGGACGGAGCAGCAGTAGAAAGCAGGGGAAGGGGAACCAGGGGGAGGTGAACCACCCCTTGTCCCCAGCACCACACAAAACCCACACCAGCCCCCACCCAGGGATCCTGATGAAAGCCCCTTAGTCTCCTTCCCAACACAGGGCAGGCTGTGGGGAGAGAGAACCCCAGGGGCTGCCCATAAGCAGCCTCCTTACCTCCTCTGCCTCAGGGAAAGCAGCAGCATCAGGAATGGAGTTCAGGCCTGCCGAGGTGAAGAAGAAAGGGGGGCCAAAATAGGCCCCCAAGAAGATGGGAGGGGGGCCTCCCCCATCCAAAGGCAGGGCAGCAGAGACCTCCCCACCCCACCCTTGTGCACCCAGCACCCTCAGCAACTAGCTGAGGTAAAGGGGTGGGAAAAAGCCGCCAGCAAAAAGGCAGGTAGAAAAAGGGGGCCTGGCCCAGAATGTAATAGTAGCCAGGGCCCGCCTGCTACCAAAGCAGCAACCTCTCTTCACAGACACCCCCTCCCAAAAAGGAAGGAGGGTGCAAGAGAAAGTGCAGCACCCTGAGAGCAGGGTGCTGCAGATATGCGGGGACTATTTGGTGTCTGGGAGGTCCTTCTCCAAGCCTACTGGGACCTAAAGGACCTTCCCCAAGCCTACGGGGAGGGTCCACAGAACCTAGGAAACCAACTGATTACGTGGGACAAATAATGAGAAAACAGGGACAGGTGTGAGGGTCAAAGGGCTAAAACGAGGGAACCGGATTGGGATACCGAGCAGAGAACCCCAGACAGCGCCCACTGACCATTTGAGTGGGATCTTCTTCCCTCCACAGCTGAACAGCACAGGCAACGAGACCACGGGCCCTGGCCTGCCTGACCCCTTGGGAGGTCTTCTAGACGAAGCCATGCTTGATGAGATCAGCTTGATGGACCTGGCGATTGAAGAAGGTTTCAACCCAGTGCAGGCCTCTCAGCTCGAAGAAGAGTTTGATTCTGACTCAGGGCTTTCTCTGGACTCTAGCCATAGTCCTGCTTCTTTCAGTAGCTCAGAAGCCTCCTCTTCCTCCTCCTCCTCCTCCTCTTCCTCTTCCTCCTCTTCTTCCTCTTTTTCCGAGGAAGGCGCCGTCGGCTATAGCTCAGACTCTGAAAATGTGGACTTTGAAGAAACAGAAGGGGCAGTTGGATACCAGCCGGAGTACAGCAAGTTCTGCCGCATGAGCTATCAAGACCCGTCCGAGTTACGCTACTTGCCTTACCTTGAGCATGTTGGTCACAACCACACCTATAACATGGCACCTGGCGCGCAGGACCCTGACGAGCCCCACCTGCCAGCTGTAGCGAAGAAGAGCAGCAAGGAGAAGCAATCTGACTTCCTGGACAAACAGATGAGCCGGGACGAGCATCGAGCGAGGGCCATGAAGATCCCTTTCACCAATGAGAAGATCATAAACCTGCCAGTGGAGGAGTTCAATGAGCTTCTCTCCAAGTACCAGCTGAGTGAGGCACAGCTGAGCTTGATCCGGGACATCAGGAGGAGGGGCAAGAATAAGATGGCTGCCCAGAACTGCCGCAAGAGGAAACTGGACACCATCCTGAACCTGGAACGGGACGTGGAAGACTTGCAGAGGGACAAATCCAAACTGCTCAGGGAGAAGGTGGAATTTCTCAAGTCCCTTCGCCAGATGAAACAGAAGGTGCAAAACTTGTACCAGGAAGTGTTTGGGCGCCTGCGTGACGAGAACGGCCGGCCCTACTCTCCAAATCAGTACTCCCTCCAGTATGCCAACGATGGCAGTGTGCTCTTGATCCCTCGCCCCTTGGCCGACCAGCAGGCCAGGCGGCAGGAGAGAAAGCAGAAAGACAGGAGGAAGTGAGCCGGGGGAGGAGGAGGGCGCTCACTAAAGTTAGGAACTGGAGAAGGGCCGAGCCTGGAAGTACTAGAGGAACTTTCATGCCTTCTTATCCAATATATCTTCTCAAACATGACTGCTGCCGGTCAGTGTATAGGGAGAGACTGCTGCACATGGAGGGTGCAGGACCTGCACAGTGAGTTTCTGATGGCTCCCATCAGGGAGTGACCAGGGAGCAACAGACAGTGAACTGGGCAAGCCCAGCTCCCTCTACGGCCTGGGATCCTTTGAGTCTGGGGAATAAGCTGGCATCCTTGGTGGTGAGAATCTGCAGAAGACGGAGAAACTACTGCTTAGGGACTGGCTTCAAGAGATTTAAGCAAATGAGCTTAAAACAAAGTTATAGGAGAGAGACTTTTCTGAAGGCTGTAACCTGGCACACTTGAGGTAGTCGTGCGCCAGGGTCTCCCTCACACCACAGAAGAGGCAAATGTCAAGAATGGGGATGAACCGTGCCAAGTACACGCCTGTGCTCACCGCGCCATGCAGGATTCTCCAGCCAATGTCCCCGGTGGGCCGTGGAACCAAGGTCGAATAAAGGCTGGCCCACCAGGGCTCCCCACCCTCTATTGGTGGTAGGAGGTCCCACCACTTGGTGTCTGGGTGGGACACGAGGGTGGGGAAGTGGAGCGAGTGAAGCACGAGCATGTACAGGTGACTCTATCGCGTGCAGCCGGCTCGGGTGATGAGGGGGAGGCGGTTGGGAAGGTACACAGGGCTAGAGGCCGATGGAGAGATTGGGAGGGCCAGGAAAGAGGGGTGGGTGGGGTGCACCCTCTCGCAGGACCTTGTTAAGATAAACCCAAGCAGTGAGTGTCAAAGCGTCCTTCTCCTCCTGAAGTACACGCCGGGGAGTATGTAGGGTAGAGAGTCCCATGCACTGAGCGAGCGCCCAAAAATCCACCCAGTCTCCCTGGTCGTAGTCCAGGAGGTCTCCGACTCTGGTGACTTCTGCCAGGACCGACCTCTGGCGCACCAAGGAGGACTCCGTCACCTGCACACGTAGATGGAGGTTGTGTAGAGGGGCTCCGCGAGGAGGTTTGCCCCCACGGTGACTCCCAAGCAGATTTAAAGGTAGCCATCCTGCAGCAAAAAAACTTCAAGAACAGACTTCAAAGAGAGCTACAGTTCATCTGCAAATTTGACACCATCACCTTAGGATTAAACAAAGACTGTGAGTGACTAGCCAACTACAAAAGCAGTTTCTTCTCTTTTGGTGTTCACACCTCCACATCAGCTGCTAGAAGTGGGCCTCATCCTCCCTGACTGAATTAACCTTGTTATCTCCAGCCTTATTCTGGCCTGCATATTTATACCTGCCTCTGGAAATTTCCACTACGTGCATCTGACGAAGTGGGTCTTTGCCCAAGAAAGCTTATGCTCCAATACATCTGTTAGTCTATAAGGAGCCACAGAACTCCTTGTTGCTTTTAAAGGGTTTGGGATTCTTTGCAGCAGAAGAGGGTGTGGGATCTGGGAGGGAGACTGAGTGGAGGAGTATGTGACCTGGGGCAGGGGACTAGGGTGCAGGAGAGAATGCAGGGGTTTGGGTTGTGGCCTAGCGCAGGAGGGGATTGTGATCTAGGGGAAGAGAGTGCAGTGCAAGGTCTGGGAGGGGGCATGGACACAGAATGGGGGCAGAGGTTTGAGTTATGTGAGGTAGGGCGCAGGAGCGGGGAGGCAAGGGGTTGGAGGGAGAGACAGGCAGGGGTGCCAGAGGCGGGCAGTGGGCAGGAAACACTTGCCTGGGTGACTCCTGCCCAGTGTCCCAGCAGGTTCCCTGACTTCCATGGCTCAGCAGGTCACCCAGAACAGTTGGCTGTGGGGCTATGTGTGTGTCTGTGAACCGCTGCAAGCCCAAGGGGAGAGGGGGAGGATTACTTTGCGAACTGCCTGTTCTTCAAATAGGCAACTCCCATTGGCCAGAAACCAGCCAATGGGAGCTGCAAGATTGTCCTGCGGGCAAGGGCAGTGTGCAAAGCTTCTCCCCCCCAGGCTTGCAGCTATTCACAAACAGGGCCCTGCAGACAGCTGCTCTGAGTAGCATGTGGGAACAGGACAGGCAAAGCATCTGACTAAGGCTGCTGCTGCAACTGTAGGCCAGGTAAAGTGGCTTGGTGGGCCAGATCCAGCCCATGGGCTGTATTTTGTCTGACCCTGATATAGTGTGTGTGTGTGTTTATATTCAAACCTATAAATTGTTTTCAGTCTTTAGTGTTCATGAGCCACACACCTGGTGAAAGGAGAAAAAACCAGTTTACCTTTCTCATCTTTCCAAGCAAATTTGCTCTCTCTCATTTCAACATGATGTTGCTAACACCCATGCTAACCACTTTTAGGCCATGCAAAGAGTCTATGGAGTTGTCCCCGTATTGCACATTGCTGCACCGTGGAGACATGATTTTTAAAGTTTACTAACATGTTAGGTATTAATTGCCCATGTAGATGATGCTGATGTTCACTAACACTTCCCTAGTGCTTGTAATGAAGCGTTGTGGTACTATCAATGTGCATAAGGGGTCTATAAGTGCACACCAGCAGAATCTACACTGACCAATTAATGAGCTAAATGTTAGTGTGCATTAGAAATCACAGCCCTATAGAGTGCATTGCCTTTCTTTGTAGATGTGCCCTGCGTAACAGGCAGTACTGCTGACAAAGGTCTGGTTTTGAATTATTTCATCTTTCAGCAATTTGCTGCTGTTCATTAATGTTAGGTGCAACAAATATAAAAGCCAAAGGTTTATTTTAGATTTTCTCAAGCGGGTGTGACCAACACCTTGCTGAGACAGGCAGTGTAGCACTCCGAAATTGAACCCTAATGGATTTTCACACCTCCGTCCAACTCTTGTGTGATCTGCAAACAAAGCAGGACCACAGCGCACCCAGCACAGATGTGGGTTTTCTCCCTTAACCATATTTCCCAGCAGGGAGGTATGTTTAGATAATGCTGAAATATGTGTGCCTGCACTGGCTTCAGACCAGCCTTCACTTATAGCAGGGTGGGGAGACCTCAGCGTGCCTAGTCAGTCCTACCCTAGTTATTTTCTGCCACCGCCCTTCCCGCATATAGATGCATCCACTTCTGCATTCTCTTGACTAAGCCAATTTGCCTCTTGACTTCCTGTGATCCTCCTGAAGGTTGGTGTGTGTTCCTCTTTCGCTACTTGATGAAGGTCCCTGGCTTCTGGTGAGCCAGCTCCTGCCACAGCTGCAGGTGCCAGCTCCTGCCACAGCACTAGCTAAGAATGGACAAACTTGAGGCCAGACCAGTTCACTTGTGTGATTTGAGTTGCTCAAAATAGGCAGCAGTTTTGTAAGAATGTATGTGGTGGTCAGAGCAGGGTTGGGGTACCTAATATCCAGGGGACGGATGAGGCACCTGGATTGCCTAGATCCAGCTCTCAAGGCTTGGGGTCCACCCCCCAACATTGGGAACCTATGTTGGCACTCCAGTCTCCCTCCAGTCCCCCATGGGGCTGGCACACACAGAATCTACTAGCCTGGACCCCCTGGGCTCTGGTGTGCAAGGAGAACATGAGGAGTGTTTTTCTCTCTCAGGCTAGAGCCACATCAGTGAGGGTTTGGTTGTTTTTTTGTTTTGTGTGGGGTTTTTTTTGGGGGGGGGCGAGTTTGGTGGTGAATTCCTTCACATATGTGTGACTGATTTTTCTATGGGGCAGCAGCCCCCAACCCAAAAAAGATTCCTCACCCCTGCTTTAGATTCTGTATGATGTTTGTAGTTGCTGCACACAATCTTATACCAAAGAAAACCAATACTATCAATAAGGAATTATGCAAGTTTTTCTTCTTAATTTTTTTGAAAATGTTTGCTTTAAACTTGATAATTCAGATGGAAGAGTCCCTTGCTTGTCCCAAACTACTACCAAAAACAGGCGTGCCATCAATAACCAGCACAATACAAAAGATTGGTTAATGGCCTATCACACCTTGTAAATACTAAATGCAAGCAATCTCATCCTGTAGGCTTAGTTTTATTTCCTTCACTCAGTCTCTAAGGCCAGGTCTATACTAGACCTAAAAGGTCGGCGTAAGGTATGCAACTGCAGCTATGTAAATAATGTAGCTAGAGTTGACGTTCCTTAAGCTGAGCTTTACGCTGTCTCCACAGTGGGAGGTCGATGGAAGCAAATGGTCTCGTTGACTTCTCTTACTCCTACCAAATCAAGGCACCGATGGAGAGGTCCTCAGTGTTCGATTTAGCAGACCCTTATTAGACCCACTAAATCAAACACCAGAAATAATCAGCGTTTCTAGTTATTCATTGCTGTGGGTAAAAATCTATGCAGTAATTGTTTTCTATTAAAAACTTTTCACTCCCCCCACCCTTACATTCCATGACCCCCAAAGGGACCTGTCCCCCAGTTTGAGGATCTCTGGATTAGTCAACGTAATGTCAATACCAGGAAAGATACTGGAACAAATTATTAAACAATCAATTTGTAGAAGATAATAGAATGATAAATTAAAGGCAACATAGTTTTGTCAAGAACAAATTAAGCCTAATCAACCTAATTTCCTTCTTTGACAGGAGTACTGGTCTAGTGGATGGAGGAAGCATTATACATGATATATCTTGATTTTAGTAAGGTTCAGTCACACATGATATTCTCATATGAAAGTTAAGGAAATATGGTCAATTAAATTACTATAAGGAGAGTACACAATTAGCTGAAAGGTTATAGTCAAAGAAGAGTTATCAATGGTTCACTATCAACTGAAGAGATGTATCTAGTGTGGTCATGCAGGGGCTTGTCTGGTACTATTCAACATTTCCATTAGTACCTTAGACAATGGAATGAAGAGAATGCTTATAAAATGCCCATGACATTACCTGGGTGGAGTTGCTAGCACTTTGGAGGACAGGATTAGAATTCAAAATAGCTTTAATAAGTTGGAGAATTGATCTGAAATCACCAAGATGAAATACAATAAAGACAAGTGCAAAATACTATACTTGGGAAGAAAAATCAACTGTCCAGCTACAATAAAGGAAGTAACTAGCTAAGTGGTAGCCCTGCTGAAAAGGATCTATCTGGAGCTTATAGTGGATCACAACTTGAATATGAATGAATCAACAAAGTGATATGGTGGCAAAACAGGCTAATATCATTCAGGAGTGTTTTTGAGGGAGTGGAATGTAAAGCAGCAAGGAGGCATTGAAAGAGGTGAAGATAAGAATAAATAAGGAGTGCTGGAAAAGAAGAGTGTGACAAAGGCTACGTCTATACTAAGTGTTTTCTCAGCAAAAAATATGCTGAGGGACTCATTTGCATGAGTCATGATCTCATTTGCA